TGGTGAGTGATCATTAAACTGTTTTCCAAAAGCATATACAGGCCAAGCGCGGTGGCTCATGCCTATAATCCCAGCACTTTGGGAGGCCGAGGCGGGAGAATCACTTGATCTCAGGAGTTCAAGACCAGCCTGGGCAATATACTGAGACCTTGTCTCTATTTTTGTAAAGTAGTTTTAATTTTTATTTATAAAATAAAATAAAAAGCATATATAGGCCATGTATGGTGGCTCACACCTGTAATCTGAACACTTTGGGAGGACGAGTTAGGAGGATTGCTTGAGCCCAGGAGTTTGAGACCAGCTTGGGCAGCATAGTGAGACCCTGTCTCTGTATTTTTAGAAAAATATTTTTTATTTTTTTTAAAAAAAGTATATCCAGGCATGGTGGCTCATGCCTGTAATCCTAGCACTTTGGGATGCCAAGGTGGGTGGATCACTTGAGCTCAGGAGTTTAAGACAAGCCTGGGCAATGTGGTAAGACCCTGTCTCTACTAAAAATACCAGACATGGTGGTGAACGCCTGTAGTCCCAGCTACTCTTGGGCTGAGGAGGGAGGATTGTTTGATCCTGGGGAGCAGAGGTTGCAGTGAGCTGAAATTGCGCCATTGCACTCTAGCCTGAGTGACAGAGCAAGACTGTCTCAAAAAAAAAAAAAAAAAGAATATAGAACAAAATGTGAAAGTTTTCTTCCTTTCCAGAGAAACACTGTTGATTGCTTGGAGTATAGCCAAATTGTGTTTACACCTATATATATATACATACACATACTGCGTATAAATACGAATTGGGTCATGGCATAAGTACTATTCTGCAACTTTCTTTTGATGCATAACAGTATATGTTAGAACTCTTTCCATATAGTGCATAGAAATCTACCTTGCCCTTTTTAAATGGCTGCAGAATATTCCACAGACTCAGTGTATAACAATTTATTTGATACTTCCCTGCTGATGGATATTTAATGTGTCTGTAGTTACCCATTATCACCAAGCTTCAGGGAATATCCCTATAAATGCATCTTTGGACACAGGAGCATAATGTGTGACTACTTTTCTAGGTTACTCTAAAAGGAGAATTGCTGGGCCAATCAGGATGTGTTTGCTAACACTAGTTATAATCAACCTTTAAAATTTTTGCCAATCTGACAGATGAAAAATATTTCATTATTTAAATTATCTGTTATCTTTACTTTTAAAAAATGTAGCTTTCGGCTGGGTGTGGTGGCTCATGCCTGTAATCCCAGCACTTTGGGATGCCACAGTGGGTAGATCACTTGAGGTCAGGAGTTCGAGACCAGCCTGGCCAACAAGGTGAAACTCCATCTCTAGTAAAAATACAAAAATTAGCCAGGCAGGTTGGCAGGCGCCTGTAATTCCAGCTACTCGTAAGGCTGAGGCATGAGAATCACTTGAACCCAGGAGGCAGAGGTTGCAGTAAGCCGAGATCTTGCCACTGTATTCCAGCCTGCGCGATATAGTGAGACTCGGTCTCAAAAAAAACCCAAACAAACAAAAGAATGCAGTTTTCTGACTGGGCACAGTGGCTCACGCCCGTAATCCCGGCACTTTGGGAGGCTGAGGCAGGTGGATCACCTAAGGTCAGGAGTTCCAGACCAGTATGGCCAACATGGCAAAACCCCATCTCTACTGAAAATACAAAAATTAGCTGGGCGTGGTGGTGCACATCTACAGTCCCAGCTATTCGGGAGGCTGAGGCAGGAGAATTGCCGGGAGGTAGAGATTGCAGTGAGCTGTGATCGCACCATTGCACTCCAGCCTGGGCAACAAAGGGAGATTCTGTCTCAAAAAAATAAATAAATAAATAGTTTTATGGTCTTGCTTTTCCTACTTTTATTCCGTAAGTATTTTTCTGTATATTAACTAACAGTGAAATGGAAATGATTGTAACCAAATATGTATTTGTACATAACATGATATAATCTGTGCATTTGTGCATTTCGCTTTTCTACATCTTTGGTTACTTCTTTAGGCCAAATGCCAAGTAGTTATAAATCAAAGTCATTTTATGAGATCTAATATTTATTTAGGTTTTCTCAAGTTTCTTTACTAATGGTTAATCAACATCCCAAGTTCCATGCCATGTACTTTAAATTCTTGTGCTTCTCGTGAGTATTCACCAGTATCTCTGTGTTCAACCTTTGTGTGTGTGTGTGTGTTTCTTTTTTGAGGTAGGGTCTTGCACTGTCACCTAGGCTGGAGTGCACTGGCACGATCATGATCATGACTCACTGCAGCCTTGTCCTCCCGGGCTCAAGTGGTCCTCCCACCTCAGCCTCCTGAGTAGCTGGGACCACAGGCGTGCACCACCACACCCAGCTAATTTTTTTTGAAGGGACGTGGTCTCGCTTGTTGCCCAGGCTGATCTCGAATTCATGGGCTTAAGCAATCCAACTGCCTTAGCTCCCAAAGTGCTGGAATTACAGGTGTGAACTACCAGGCCTGGCCCATCTTGGGTGTTTATCCATGTATTCTGCAGTGCTTTCCCCAGAAGTCCTCTTAGACAGCTGCTCAGATGGGCTGATTGTCCTTTCTCTGTCTGCTTTCCTTGAGAAAATGCTGATGAATAAACTTCTCTCCCTCATCACAGAAGGAAAATAATGTTCTTATCCTTTTTTAACAAAGAAAGTAACTAGAATTTAGTATACTGTGACTTAGAACCCAAGGAAGCCTCCTCGCTTGATGCCTAGTGTGCATTTCTTGCAGATTTGTTTGATGGTTTGAATTCAATATTGTTAAAGTCTGTCTCTTTTTTTATTTTTCCAGGTGAATGTTGGATGTGTACCCAAAAAGGTAGAATTTTTATTTCTCTTTCCCTTTACAATCCTTTTTCTATTTGTAAATCATAATCCGAATAAGAATGTTTCCAAATGTATCCATTAAAATTCATTCTGCAAAAAAAACCCTAGACCCCACTAAAAGTGGCTTAAGCAATAGGATTGTTTTTGTTTGATTTGTGTTTAAAATTTTTTGTTTATTTTTAATTACTTTTTATTTTTATTATTATTATTTTTTTGAGACGGAGTTTCACTCTTGTCGCCCAGGCTGGAGTACAGTGGCGCGACCTCGGCTCACAGCAACCTCTGCCTCCTGGGTTCAAGTGATTCCCTTTCCTCAGCCTCACAAGTAGCTGGGATGACAGGCGTGCGCCACAGCACTCGGCTGATTTTTGTATTTTTAGTAGAGATGGGGTTTCACCGTGTTGGCCAGGCTGATCTCGAGCTCCTGACTTCAGGTGATCCACCCACCGTGGCCTCCCAAAACGCTGGGATTACAGGCCTGAGCCACCGAGACCGGCCACGGCCTAGTAATTTAGTTTGGTCATCTACACCGCAGGATAGTTTTTTCTCAGCAGGAAGACCCAGCCAGCAAACCAAACTGTTGAATGGAATCTTCTTAAGTTCTGTGGATTCATGGATTTTCTGTATCATGTTGGTGATTTTTTTGGTATTAATATCTGTGGTGCAGGTCACATTGAATGATTTCATTTTTTTACCCTTGACAAAGAGGAAAAAACAGCAGCTCTTATTTCTAAAGCTGCCTCTTGCTTATACTTGCAAAGAATGCCACTCATTTGAATGAACTTTCAACATATGTTGTAATCTCAAGCTTACCACCTTTATTAATGGCATTCCATTTTAACTTGTCATCTTTTTGGTATTATGTAAGCAAATCTCTTAATCTCATCAGTGATGCACACCTGAGTTTAATTCCAAAAAGCTTTTTTGAAATCTGTTCCCTGGTATAGGTGATGTTTTTCTTTCTGTCTTAGGAAGACTTTTTTTCTCTGGTACGTTTTCCCTCAACTGTTTCCTTTCTTATTAGTCATACTTTTTGGAATCTATTCTACTTGGAACCATGCAATTATGACTGTATGAATTATATAAATTCATTATAAGGTGGTTTTATGTAGTTTAAACCAGTTATGGTAGTAAATTTCGTGTTGATTGATGCAAGTTTGTTTTTTAAAAAATATACTGCTGGGCTAATACTGTACAGTAAACTGATTTTGTAATGTTTTATTCTCATATTTACTTATTCCTTCTGATCACATGTGGTAGACATTTATGTATGTTCATTTATATATGTTTTTGTTTCTTTTTGTTTGTTTATTTTATTTTATTTTTTTTTGAGATGGAGTCTCACTGTTGCCAGGCCGGAATGCAGTGATGTGATTTCAGCTCACTGCAACCTCCACCTCCCAGGTTCAAGTGATTCTCCTGCCTCAGCCTCACGAGTAGCTGGGACTACAGGTGCGCACCACCATGCCTGGCTAATTTTTTTGTTTTTGTTTTTGTTTTTGTTTTTTGGAGATGGAGTCTCGCCCTGTCGCCCAGCCGGGAGTGCAATGGCACAATCTCAGCTCACTGCAACCTCCACCTCCCAGGTTCAAGAGATTCTCCTGCCTCAGCCTCCTGAGTAGCTGGGATTACAGGCGTGTGCCACCACACCTGGCTAAGTTTTTTTGTATCTTTAGTTGAGATGGGGTTTCATCGTGTTGGCCAGGCTGGTCTCGAACTCCTGACCTCGTGATCCGCCCACCTTGGCCTCCCAAAGTGCTGGGATTATAGCCGTGAGCTGCTGCGCCCGGCCCGAACTCTTGACCTCAAGTAAGTAATCCACCTGCCTCGGCCTCCCCAAAGTGCTGGGACTGCAGGTGTGAGCCACCGCGCCTAGCCAGGTTTGTTTTTAATTTAAAGGGCAGTATTTTATCTGCTGTTACCTAGTTACCATTCATTCATGATTTCTTTTTTCCCTCAGGACTCATTTACTGCTGCTTTTGATCCTTTTTTTTTTTTTTTAACAGGTAATGTGGAACACAGCTGTCCACTCCGAATTCATGCACGATCATGCTGATTATGGCTTTCCAAGTTGTGAGGGTAAATTCAATTGGCGGTAAGTGTCAACACTAAGAGGGTTCAGTTTCCAAGTATAGATATTTTTCTTTCTTTTTTTTTTTTTTAAAGTACAATTTCCGTTTTATTTTTCTCCAGAGAATAGTCTGTCTCAGTCTTTAAGGACTCAGCTCCTTACATGGGCTTTGGTGGGGGACGTGGGGCAGCACCCACAAGTCTAAATCGGGGAGTGGGTGTTCGGTCCTTGCAGGCTTCATGAGATCGATTCCTGACTACTTTGCTGTGAATTGCACGACTCACACAGTAATGTAGCTTCACATACAGCTTGGGAAGCACATAGGCATCGAAGACGCTCGCTTCAGAAATGTCCCTGACTGCTGCGGCCTCCACTATGTTTCGAATGACGAATTTCTTAATGGCCTTGTCCTTGGGCACGCATCGGGCACAGTTAGTGCAGCGAATAGGCTGCACACGGCCGCGGCCCTTTTTGGCACGACCGTTGTTCCTTCTTTTCTTTGTCATCTTGGATGTACGGACCGAAGACATAGTTTTCTTTCATAACTAAGTGAGCCGTAAACTTTTTTAGGGATGGAGGAGGAATTGTGGTAAATATTCACAGTATGAGATTTACAGTTTAGCCATTTTTAAGTATACAATTGAGTGTCATTAAGCACATTCACATAGGTGTACAGTCGTCACTACTATTACCACTTCCAGAACTTTCCTGCCATCCCAAACAGAAATGCTATTCCATTAAACAATAACCCCTCATTCTCTTCTCCCACTGGCCCCTGGGAACCTCTATTCTGCTTTCTGTCTCTATGAATTTGCCAATCCTAGGAAACTCATATAAGTGGAATCATACAATATTTGTTCCTTTATGTCTAGTGTATTTTGTTTTCACGGTTTGTCCATGTTGTAGTATGTATCAGAACTTCATTGCTTTTTTTTTTTTTTTTTGTTAAGACAGGGTCTTGCTCTGTTGCCCACGCTGGAATGTAATGGTGCAATCATAGCTCACTGCAATCTTGAGCTCCTGGGCTCAAGCTATCCTCCCACTTCAGCCTCCTGAGTAGCTGGAACTACAGGCATGTGCCACCATGCCTGCCTATTTTTTTTATTTTTATTTTTAGTAGAGACGAGGTCTCACTGTGTTGCCCAGGCTAGTCTTGAACTCCTGAGCTGAAGTAATCCTCCCGCCTCAGCCTCCCAATTTGCTGGAATTTCAAGTGTGAGCCACTGCGCCCAACCTTCATTCCTTTTAAAGGCAGATTAAGATTTCATCATATGGATAAAACCACATTTTGTTTATCCATGCATTCGTCAGTGAATTTTTGGGTTGTTTTTACCCTTTTTTTTTTTTTTTTTGAGATGGAATCTAGCTCCGTCGCCCAGGCTGGAGTGCAGTGGCGCAATCTTGGCTCACTGCAAGCTCCACCTTCCGGGTTCACGCCATTCTCCTGCCTCAGCCTCCTGAGTACCTGGGACTACAGGCGCCCGCCACCACACCCGGCTAATTTTTTGTATTTTTTTTTAGTAGAGACGGGGTTTCACCATGTTAGCCAGGATGGTCTGGATCTCCTGACCTCGTGATCCACCCACCTCAGCCTCCCAAAGTGCTGAGATTACAGGTGTGAGCCACTGCGCCCAGCCTGTTTTACCTTTTGGTTATTATGAACAATGCTGCTATGAACATTCGTGTAAAGGTATCTATCTGTTCAGGTCTCTGCTTCCAGTTTCTTTTGGGTCTGTACTTAGAAGTGGAATTTCTGGGTCATATGGCAGTTTTGTGTTTAACTATTTAAGGAACTGCTGTAAATCTTTTGAAGCCATAACAGTTTTGAAGAAATTTAGCAAATTTATGTAACAGGTATTTATTAAGTACCCACCACGTCCTATGCACACCGTGTTCTAGGGACTGTGCCAAAGCATTTATCCTTGTCTTCTGTGCAGAAAGACGATGCCAGCTGAGTGCGTTCTCCACTGAGTGGCACAGAGGCTTTTAACACATGGGGCAGCAGAATGACACAGGGAAGGGATGACTGTCTTCGGAGACATTCACTCACTGCGGTTCCTGTTGACAGTCAGTGATTCTCTGCTTGGGTGTTCAGGGACAGATGCCTTAGTTACTAACTGGAAGGGGAAGATCCTGTTTCTGAGTACTGACTTGAGTTTCATTGCAGTGTTATTAAGGAAAAGCGGGATGCCTATGTGAGCCGCCTGAACACCATCTATCAAAACAATCTCACCAAGGTGTGTATGCTGAGTTTTTAACTTTGAGAAAAAGCTGTTCCCTTGTTGAGTACTCAGCTAAGTCTTGCCAGACTGTAGCTTTATTTATTTATTTTTATTATTATTATTTTTTTGGAGACGAAGTCTTGCTTTGTTGTCCAGGCTGGATTGCAGTGGCGTGATCTCGGCTCACTGCAACCTCCGTCTCCTGAGTTCAAGCAATTCTTCTGCCTCAGCCTCCTGAGTAGCTGGGTCTACAGGCTACATGGTGTGCCACCATGCCCAGTTAATTTTTGTATTTTTTAATAGAGACAGGGTTTCATCATGTTGGCCAGGCTGGTCTTGAACTCCTGACCTCAGGTGATCTGCCCACCTTGTCCTCTCAAAGTGCTGAGATTACAGGCGTGAGCCACCATGCCTGGCCCTATTTTATTTTTAATGACCAAGTCTCTATCTGTCGCCAGGCTGGAGTACAGTGGTGCAATCATAGCTCACTGCAGCCTCCAAATCCTGGGCTCCTCCCGCCTCAGTCTCCTTAGTAGCTAGGATTATAGGCACGCACCACCACACCGGGCTAATTTTTAAAATATTTTGTAGAGATTTCTTACTATGTTGCCTAGGCTGGTCTTTAAACTCCTGCCTTAGCCTCCCAAAGTGTTGGGATTATAGGCATGAGCCACTGTGCCTGGCCTCTTACTTTTTCTCTTATTGAAATTGACCTGTCAGAGCAGAAACCTCTGACCCAGCTGGCCAGTCTCTTCTGCAGAGAGAGGGTGGCGTGTGCCAGAGCTGGTAGACCAGGCCTCACCTAATGGCTGCACCTTGAGTAGGTCTGGCCTGGCACTTAGATTCAGAAGTCACATACGAGAGACTTTGTGCACCAGTGTGGCAGTTTATTAATTAAAAAGAGGAGTGCCATCTAGCTGAAAACCTGCCATTGTGTGTTTTTTTGTTTGTTTGTTTGTTTGTTTTTTGAGAGAGTTTCTCTAGTCACCCAGGCTGGAATGCAAGAGCACAATCTCAGCTCAGTGCAACCTCTGCCTCCCGCTGGGTTCAAGCAATTCTCCTGCCTCAGCCTCCCAAGTAGCTGGGATTACAGGCGTGCACCACCACGCCTAGCTAATTTTTGTATTTTTAGTAGAAACAGGATTTCATCATGTTGGCCAGGGGTCTCGAACTCCTAATCTCAAGTGATCTGCCCACCTCGGCCTCCCAAAGTGCTGAGGTTACAGGCATGAGCTACTGTGCCCGGCCAAACCTGCCATTGTTTATTTGCCTAGAGTAAGACCTCCTTAAGAGACCAAATTAGGATTCAGAAGGTTGTTTTTATGAATGACATCTGATCAAGAAAACTGGGCAGAGGTGTGTTTGCCTCCAGCAACTGTATGTCATCCTTCACTATCCTGATGGTTTCCCCTCTAGTGCTGGGATGTGACACCTTTCCCACTAGGACCACGTGGGTGACATTCACAACCTGTGCATCACTTAACTCTCCTTTTTCTTGTCAGTATCTTTCCACCACTCTTCATTTGTCTTTGTGGTCTCACTTTGCTGTTTCTAAGATTTCTTAGGTTTTGTTTGTTTGTGAAACAGAATCTTGCTCTCTCCCCCAGGCTGGAATGCAGTTGTGTGATTTCAGCTTACTGTGACCTCTGCCTCCCAGGTTCAAACAATTCTTGTGCCTCCGCTGGCCTCCGCCTCCCGAGTAGCTGGAACTTACAGGCGGCTGCCCACACTGCCCTTTTTTCTTTTTGTATTTTTAGTAGAGATAAATTCACAATGTTGGCCAGCTGTCCCTCAAAACTCCTAACCATCGAGTGATCCGCACTGCATCAGCCCTCCCAAAGTGGCTGGGAAATGACAGGGGGTGAGCAACCACCCTTGCCCTCATAAGGTTATATTTAGATCAGAACTTTTTTTTTTTGAGACAGAGTTTTTGCTCTGTTGCCTCAGGGCTGGAGTGCGTGGCGTGATCCGGCTAACTG